ATTCTTTTCGATTTTTTACAATTAATAAAGGCACATTAATGCAATTTACAAATATTTTTAAGGTAATTAAACTTTTGAATATAACCATGTTTTATGTAAAACAATGGCAAATGCACAATCCACAATTGATTCATTAAAAGAGTTAAATCTTAAGCTCGTTCTTCAAATCGATGAACTTAGAAAGGAGAATGCAAAGGTCAAGGCTGAGAACACAGGATTGAAACAAGCTATAGAAGAAAATGCAACACTCAAGATTAGATTCGAAGAACTAGAAAAGTAAAATAAAACAGATACTGCCAAGCCTACTGCCGAGAATGCCGAGCTAAAAGATAGAGTCACGAAATTGGAACAGAAGCAGACTAGAGACATCACTAATGAGCAAGATGTATCTCCTACAAAAGATATTTTGCAGTCTACGGCTTGTTCAGAATTATTATTAAATACCCGGAGTACTATTTCTTCCGAAATAAGAGATGAGTCTAAAGGATCATTATCCATTCAATTACCTATCGAGGGCTAGTCTGACAAGGAGAAAGACGTTAGTCCTGATCGCTTACCCGAACTAGAACATAGCTCGACAAGTTCTGAATCATTAGCAAAACCTGAAACATCCGAATCTTCTTTATCACAAGATACTATCAGTTGAAATCCTTGAATTTGTAGAAACAATACGTAAATGAAATAAGGGAGAGAAACAGAAAAAAGAAACTTCAAATTCAAGGATCAATGCAAAGCACATCTTCCTCTTTTGATATACAAAATGAGGTATCAATAACATGCAATAAAAGAGTAGAGCAAGGTTTAAGGCACGACTTATCTGTATTCATTAAAGAAAATAGTAATAAATTTAGCGATATATTTGATATAAAAATTCCTGAATTTTCGCTAGAAGTAATTATAACAGGATCTAGCAAAATTACAGCACAAAATATAGCCGATTTATTTATTATAGCAATGAAAGTTAGACAAAAAGAGATTTTATGTTGGCATTGTTACTATAAAGCATATGAGGATCGAATCGAAGATATTAAGTGTATAAATAAA